TAATGAATAATTGAACTTGCGCCCTTAAGTCCTCGTTAACTAGATATTTTGGTTTATTTCCTAACTCACATCTCCTTAGTTCATTTAGATGAAAAAACTTGTGTATTTTGTTTTAGTAAGTAAAATAATGAAGCGCGATAAATAACTTCGCAGAAAAATGAACCGGTCCATTCAGTACAATCAATGGTGGTTCATCCAGTACACTAATCAAAATGTACATGTTACCCATATAATCACAGCAATCAGTAAATCATATAACATTCATTCTAATGTTATACAAAGTAAAAAATATGTATCTATAATATTATATAAGGTAAAGTTAACTATAGTTAATATTATTAACTATAGTTAACTTTACCTTAAAAATCTAGTGTAAATTGAAACAAATTGAAAAGATAAAAATTTACTTTTAGCTCGAAAAAAACAAAAAATGCAAATATTAATGCATTATTACGAATAACGTTAAACCAAAAATATCAAAGAAACTTTGAGTATACAAAAATTATATGCAATTAAAAAAAATCAATTAACAGCTTGTTAAGTTTTTATTTTTCTAATGGTCCATTCAGTACAAGGTCCATTCAGTACCACTCTCCCCTACGCCATTATCAAGTATGATAAAATGTTTTGTAGAGAATTTAAAAATCCCATCCCTAACTTTAAGTCTTAAAAAGAAGCCTTTCTCAAAGTAAATGCTCAAATAAAATTATATTTAAAAAAAAAAAAGCATGACTGGAATCAGTGACTTTGAATCCATGCGTTTTAACTTTAATGAAATAAATGATGTAAATATAGACCCTGATATAAACTATTCCTACGAGGCGCTTACGGATTGCTCATATCACTTTCCAAGCGATTTAGAAGGGTTTCTTTTTAAAAATGTTTATGACAAATGTTTAAATAAAATTATGATACTACACGTATATAGTAATATAGTATATAGTATATTATGATACTACACGTATATAGTAAACATTCGAAGTCTTAATAACAATTTTGAAAAACTTTTAAACTTGTTAGAGGAAACAAAAAATCGTTTTAATATAGTTTGTTTAACTGAAACCTGGATTTCAAATAACATAGATAATACTTCGAACTTTTTTATTCCTCATTTTAAATTAATTTCGTTTAAAAGACAAGTAAATAAACGCGGCGGAGGAGTCATTATATATGTGAATGAAAATATTGTTTATTACGTTAGGAATGATTTAAGTGCTTCTGATAGCGATAAAGAAATTTTGACTATTGAAATTATGAACAATCAATCTAAAAACATATTATTAAGCTGTTGTTATCGCCCACCTGACGGCGTGAGCGAGAACTTGAGCATTTTTTTTGAACAAAGTATTTTTAAAAAAGGTATTAAAGAAAACAAAAAGAACTTCATTATTGGAGACCTAAATATGAATTGTTTTCTTTATAATGAAGATAACAAAATTAAAAACTTTTACGACTCCTTTTTTGAGGCGGGAGCAATTCCTTTAATAAACAGGCCAACTAGAGTAACAAAAAACTCGACGTCTTTGATTGATAATATTATTACAACAGATATATTCAACAATAATATTCAAACAGGTATCCTAAAATCTGATATAACTGACCATTTTCCAATATTCTTGACAATTAATTCTGAAATTAAAAATAAAATAAACAAAATTAAAATCCGCATTTTTAACCATACAAATATAAAGTTGTTTAAAAACCAACTATCGTTACTGCACTGGAAGCATATTAACTTCAATGACAATGCAGACAAAATTTATGATAACTTTTATGAAACCTTTTACTCCGTTTATGACGCAAACTTTCCTATTATTGAAAAGACAATAACTCCAAAATATAAAAATAACCCCTGGATAACAAAAGGATTTAAAAAATCATCCAAGATTAAACAGAAGCTGTATATAAAATATCTTAAAACAAAATCATTAGATAATGAGAAAATATATAAAAATTCTCTTTGAAAAAGTTCGTAAAAATCTCTTTGAAAAAGTTCGTAAAAATTTGAAAAAAAATTATTACACAAGACTTCTAGATAAATTCAAAAATAACACAAAACGCAATTGGCAAATAATGAACGAAATTACTGGCAGACAAAAAAAATGCTCAGGTTCTCTTCCCCAGATGGTTATAGTGGATAACAAACGCATATGCGAACCAAAAGCTATAGCTCATGAGTTTAATAAATTCTTCACTGACATTGGTCCTAAACTAGCAAATAAAATTCCTTATACCAAAGCAACATTTAACGATTTTCTAGTACAGATGGATAATTGCATTAGTTCCAACGAATTATATTCTGAGCTAACTTTTTATGAATTCGAAAAAGCATTCAAATCCCTTAAAAAAAACAAAGCAAACGGAGCAGATGACATAAACGGTAATATAGTTATAGAATGTTTTGAACAATTAAAAGATATACTTTTTAAGGTTTATGGAGCATCTATTTACCAAGGAGTTTTTCCGGATCAATTAAAAATTGCTAAAATTACCCCAATTTTAAAAGAGGGAGATCAAACAAATATCAGTAATTATCGTCCTATCTCCGTCCTCTGCACATTCTCAAAAATACTAGAACGCATTATGTATAATAGATTATACAATTATCTCCTTTCTAATAATTTGTTATACGCCAACCAGTTTGGTTTTAAAAAAAATAATTCGACGGAACATGCAATTATCCAACTTGTACGTGAAATTTCAAATTCTTTTGAAAAATCTAAATTTACATTAGGTGTTTTTATCGACCTGTCGAAGGCGTTCGATACTGTAGATCATGAAATTTTGATACAAAAACTGAAATACTATGGAATAAATTACAAAGTTATAAAATGGTTCCGAAGTTATTTATCTAACCGTAAACAATTTGTTTTTAGTAATAGTTGTTATCCAAATGAGTTCCTAAATGTTTCATGTGGCGTTCCCCAAGGTTCCATTTTGGGACCACTGTTGTTCTTGATTTATATAAACGACCTAAATAAAGCCTCAAATTTAATGAGTATAATGTTTGCTGATGACACCAACTTATTTCTTTCCGATAATGATATTTACAAACTCTTTTCTAGTATGAACGATGAACTTAAAAACATATCAAAATGGTTTATATGCAATAAGCTAACTCTTAACAGTAACAAAACAAAATGGATTCTCTTCCATCCAATCGCAAAAAAACCTTATTTACCCCAAAATTTACCAAAAATCTTTATTGATAATACTGCGATAAAAAGACACTATGTCACAAGGTTTTTGGGTGTTTTTCTTGATGAAAACATCACATGGAAAGCGCATATTGACTATATTAGCACAAAAATTTCTAAAAGCATTGGAATTTTATACAAATCGAGAACATATCTATGTAAAAAAGATTTAACCCAACTATACTACACATTTATTCATACCTATTTAAATTATGCAAATATTGCTTGGGGAAGCACAGAAAAAAGCAAATTAAAATGTCTTTACCGCCGTCAGAAGCATGCGATCCGTTTAATTAATTTTGCGGATCAATACACTCATTCCAAACCTTTTTTTATTGAAATGAAAATTCTTAATATTTACGAACTTAATGTGTTTAATGTTTTATGCTTTATGTATTTGTGGAAAAATGACTTATCCCTACCTATCTTTAAAGTTCTCTTTTGTGAAAAACCAATAAATAAATATACTCTTAGAAATAATAAATTTTTGCATAAACCTTTTTGTCGAACAAAGTTTAACCAGTATGGTATTGCTTATCGTGCGCCATATCTTTGGAATGAAGTTGTTTTGCCAAACTTTAATATATTTTACACTTTTCCAATTTTTAAACATAAACTCAAAAATTTAATTTTATTTTCCGATGACATAATAAGGTTCTTCTAATTGTAATTATGTACCTTTTTTAGAACTTTTTAATTGTAAAATACGTTTTATGTTAATTGTAAAATACGTTATATGTAACGACTCTTTTTGTTTTACTTTTTATCTTTTTGTTTTACTATTTACTTTTACTGTTTATTTTATAAATAGATTATATACATTGTAAATAATTATGCTAAATGCTTGTAAAAGGTTCTGATGATAAGATCAGTACGATCTTCTTTCAGAAACCTTGTTTGTATTTGTTAAAGTATTGTATTACGACAAATGTAAACTTAAAATGTAAAAAAAAAAAAAAAAAAAATTTTCATACGAAGATGACGTTTTTTTCAAACTTACGCATTGAATTACAAATCTTGCTCACAGTTGTAGTGTCAATAGCCAGTTGCGAAAGTTCCTTCAGCCAGTTGAAGCTTATTCTATCATATCTATGAGCTTCAATGGGGCAACAACGTCTTGTTTATTTGACAATCCTCAGTGTCGAAAGAGAAACTCTAGAATCAACAGACATTGACGACATAATAGAAAAACTTGCTGTAGTTAAAGCTAGAAAGATCAAGTTATAATTTATAAGTAGTTTTAAAAAAATCAAATTATAAATAGTTTTTGATTATTGGATCTGATTTTTACTTTCAATGACTAATTCACATGAACCATGATGGATACGTAATTAGAAACATGAGTTAAATTGAGTTTGCAAATGCTAATCATTTGTATTTTTTTTCATTAAAACTGTCATATACTTGGAAACATTAGGTGTTTTTTTTAGTCCGCATGTCTGCTTCAGGAGGGGGCACCAATTTTCAGCATTTCCCTGGGCGCCAGAAACCCTAGCTGCGCCACGGGATTTTATTATAATCTAAACTATATATTATGCCTATTTATAGGGCTTATTTTATTTTTGTGGGAATTTGAGACAAAAGACACATTTTAGACTTTCATGAAAGTTTTTTTCAAATTTTAAGTAAATTTAAATTACCTAAACTCACAAAACGTTTTATGTTTATAATAACTAACTTTAATGTTATTAAATAATAACATTAAAGTTAGTTAAGAAATATTTTAAAAAATGAAAAAATAATGACCATAATTGGATTTTAAAAAATTCAATTTTCTTTCTTTTTCAATGAAATTTATTTTAGGTATTGTTGTTAGATATATCAATGAGCGTGTGTTGATAAAAAATAACTTGGTTGCAACCTTTCCATTGTTGAAAACAACATATTCCGTTTCTTTTTTGTTTAAGCCAAGTTTTCTTCCTACTGTAGACACAAATATTGTTCATTTGACTAATAAAAATAGTTTTTCAAATTATGGGGAAAGAATCCCTGGTGTTTGGTTTTTTACATCAGGAATTATATTTGTTTCTTCTGCAGTCAATGGAGATGGTGATTACAAATTTATGACTAATCCAATACCATTAAATGTGTGGTCAAGTATACAAGTATCCCAAACTGAAACTAATGGAATTTATTTATACTCAATATATTTAAATGGAACAAATATTTTTAAGATTGTAAACTCAAAGACACAAGTATTTACAAATGTCTTCGTTTACAATGGAGACCCAGAGTATGGTTTGGATTTATCGTGTGGATTTATTAAAGATTTCATTGTAATTAATGGAAACGAATGTAAGTATTCTGTTTTCATTTAAAATTAATTTTTATTTTCTTATGAATTAGAATAGACTATTAAAACCATAGTTTGTTTTTGAAACTTTTCTACACTGACGCATCAAAAATGCCTCAAAAAAATTGTCGTTACATCAAGTGATCAGCTAATTTTTTTTTCAAACGGGAATTGAAATTTTTTTAACATGACAGACTGCGCTTAATACAAACATAGTCATAAGAATACATTCTTTCTTATAACTTTTCTTTCTTATAACTATGCGTTCTTTCTTATAACTATAACGAATTCTTTCTTATAACTATGATACAAATAATTTCATCATTATAAAAATCACGCAAATCAAATGAAGAAAAAGTTATGCCGCAAGTATAGATTTAGTAATAAATACAGTCCTGTTGAACTTTTGTTAAACGCTAGCATTTAGGAGCTCGCCAAATGTGAATTACTAATGAACTATAAGTTTTAATAAATGTTAAACAAATAGACATTTAGAACACGCTCTAAACGTATATTTTTTTAACCATGATCAACTTAAAGTATACGGCCTAATATTCGGCATTTTTAGCAATAAAATAGAGGCCAGTTTTTCGATTTTGAATGAAAGTTCACAATAAACTAAAAGTACTGCTAGAAGAATATTGAATTTGGTTCTGTTGGTTATTTATTAAACAATTTAAAACAAGATCTAGTGACAGAATTTTCATTTAATGTTAATGAAGAATTACAAACCATAAAAATAAAACAAGAATTGAGTGCTAAAAAATTCTGCAGCCGTATTCACATCCTTCCGTTAAACCCTGCGATAAGCTATCGGCTGGTTATAAGCAAAACGGCAGTTTTTAACGCCAGCGATAAAATATACTCGTATTCTAACGTCTCCGTTTAGTTAACGGCAGGAGAAAGTTTAGTTATCGGAAGGCTGTTAACGCCAAAATCTAACCCTGCTTTGCCCTTCTGTTAAAACTGCTATCGGAGAAATTTTTTTTTTATATAAATAAAATTAAAAAATGGTATCCAAACAAAACAAGCTTTTTGAGTTTTCCTCATTAATAACTGTTAGATAAACTATTTATTTTTAGTTGTACTAGAAATAAATAAGTTTACTTTTATGCTAAATAAGCTTTATTATATAAAAATATATTATATTTTATGTTATAAAATAAATTATATTTTAAATAATAAAATTTTTTTAAATATAAGATATATTATATTATAATTTAAAATATTTTATATTTTATGCTAAATAAGCTTTATTATAGAAAACTATAATGTAAATTAATTTTTTGTACTTTATAATAAATACATTTATTAATCATGAAATCAAATGAATTTTGTTTAATAGTTTATACTATTACGAGCGCATATTTATACATGTACGTATGTTACATGTACGTATATATGTATGTACGTACATATGTATGTTACATGCTACCATACATAAATACATGGATATATCGCGGCTGTTTCAAACCGAGCTTAACGGCTTCTTGTTAATTTTTGAAAATATTGACTAAAGGGGGGTTACTAAAACTTTTATAACTTTTAAAATATAAGAGGTAATTTTGTTTTGTAAAAACAATTAAGACATCAATAAAATGTTTTAACTAATGACATTTAATGCATTAGTAGAAAAACTTCTTTTAGTTTAGAATAAATATGACATATTGAATTTGGCTAAATTTTTGTAATTTGATGTTACTTTTTATCAAAAAAAATGAAAAATATATTCCTAATAGTTATTATCAAATACACTTATTGTTTGACAATAATGAAAACAAAAAAAACTTACTTAATTATTTAAGGTTAACTAAAACAGCCTTAATCGAATTGTGAAAGCAAACCACATTTTTCGCAAAATTATGAAAAACGTCGTTATAAGGGGGGATTAGTAGTTAAATGAGTACTTTTTTTAATATAGAAGTTCTTGATTTAGAAAATTATTTTGGAACGCTGATAAAATCATTACATTACAAAACAAAGTTTTAATAATATGGTGTTAGGTAGTTAATAAATAAAAACTCATCAATTCTAATAAAATAATTCATGACCAAAATTGAGTTAAAGGTTTTGAATTAACCTAGCTTTTGGTAGTAGAAATATTTTATGGTACTTGTATCAATAATCTCTTCTCACAAAAAATAAAGTGTTTAAATATACACAAATAGCTGATTTAAATCTTTTGATAATTCGTTTTTATTTTCATTAAAAACTGTTTTATAATTAGTTGGTCCATTGATAAGTTCTTCAAGCAGTAAACTATCTTTGAACACCCAGATGATACTAGACTCATACATAATTCATTTAAAACCAGAAGAACATTTGGTCAACTTGGCAATTGTGATAATAAAGTTTACAACTTCTTAATTTATCAAGCTAAATTTTTACACCAACTTGATAAATGAGACTTATATTCCATTCTTTAACCAGAGAGGAGGTATGTAGACCAGAGGTCCTGCGAAGGTAGAACTAACTTTTGATGATAAAAATTGAACGGAGATCTAATATATATAAAAAATGTTACATATTACATAACAAAGGATGAAAAGTTTGTTGAATTAACTACATAAACATACAAAATCATATCCAACAAACATACCAGTTGTTCTGATCACAAATTAAAATAGTTAGCTATACATTTGATGCTAGACTTTTATTCCATTCTTTAACCTGAGCAAAGGCATTGCATAGATATAATAAACTTTTGAAAATAGGAACAGAATGGGCATCTACCTAATATATAAAATCGTTGTAATAAAAAATTATTATTATTTTAAACAAACATTACAGGCATTAAAACAGAATAGAATTCTCTTATTTGTAAATTAAGGATCTTATATAATTTATCTTAGATGTAAAAAGTTTAATTTTTTTTTTTAACTTTTCAAACATTTAAACTAAATTTGGTGACCACAAACAAGACAAAGACCTTGTCTATAAAATGAATTTTCGCCACGCTCTGAACACACAACACACTTTCTCACCTTAGAGGCTTGAAGCTTCCTATCAGCTTTGCTGTGCAATTCAAAGCGTTTTAAAACAAGATGCAGCTTTTGCTCCTGATTTCTAACTGAATGCAACTGTCTTAACTCCTTATTTACGCTATTATGCAAACACTCTCCCTCCTCTTCACTCAGCAACCCAAAAGTTTTATGCAATTTTACAAATAGTGGCACATTGAAAATGAGTTCATGCATTTTTCGCGTGATACTTTCTTTTGGAAAGCAAGCATGAAACTCAATAGCAAATAAATTTATATATTGATGAAACTCAGAAATTTCGGCATCAGAAAGAAATTTTCGCTTGAAAAGAATAGGTTGCAAGTTATTAAAAACACTAAACACACGTACAAATCTATTTTTAATTGCTTCATCATCAATCTTACATTTTTGGCACGAGCAGATGCAAATTTACGGTGTGCTGTTTTTAATTTTTTTTTTTTATAGTTGGAATTGCTCCTCCTGTTTTAGCCTAATACTCATAGTCTCTAATTGAGAACTTAATGAGTTACAATGTGCGTTGAGAGCCTTGTTTTTAGAATTTAAATATATAACTTCAGTTTCCAACTTTGATACCTGTATTTTTAAATTATCTATTTGCTCCACATTATTTTTTTCTTTAGAAATTAATTGTTCAACTTGACTACTTAGTTCCTTATTCCTATTTAAGATATAAAAATTATCTGCATCTGCTGATTTTTTTTGTTTTTTTGTTTGTGGAGCTGGAGACAGTTGCATTTTAAAAAATGCTTCGTTTTTTGAAGCTTCAAAATACTTTTTAGAATCTTTTTTTCTTTGTTTTATTTTTCGGCACATTTTATTTAAAACATCAATATTAGGCATATTAAACTCAATTGGCAAAAAAAAACTTAAAAAAGTAAACAACGCTTTTGGATGAAAAACTGTTAATAAAATTGAAATCACATTGTTAGTGATATTACTATTGTCAATTACTCGCTTTACAAAATTAAAGTTATACTCATTTTCCCAACCATCTTCCCAACCGATGTACAGTTTCAAAATTTTCCTCTCAGTTGCATACATCACATAAATAATGATAATGATATTATAATAATAATATAATAAAAGAAATTAAATAAAATAATATTTACAAATAAATACACTAAAAATAAAAGAATTAAGCAACTTATCTGAGATTAGTCGAATATCCACGAGGAAATAATCCACGAAACTTTGCTTTATAATCTTTATTGATATAGTAATAAAATTATAATACAAACAACTTAAATAGAATAATATTGACAAATAGATGCACTAGATAAAATCGGATTAATCAACTTATCTGAAATTAGTCAAATATCCAAGAGAAATTAATCCGCGAAACTTTGTTATTTATTCTATAAAATGTGTCTCGTTTGTTTTGTTTGTTTTCTTAAAATGCATCCGATAATCGTTGGGGACGTAACGATCAGAGTTTGCGTCACCGCTTTAAAATGTAAACAAGAATTTATGCAAAAAAAACTAAAAAAAATGTCGCTAAACATGCCAAGTTTGAAAACATATTTGATAACATAGCTAGAGGTACAGAAAATAATTTTTTAATTTTCTTATTCATATAAGGTTGAAGTATTACTAAATCCGCAGACTTTTCAAAAATGTTATGTTTTTTATTCAAAACGAATAAAAACAAAAATATAAATGCATTAAAAACTAACTTTCTCTATAAAAACTTGCAAAGTGTGTGGAAATCTAGATAGAACAGACATTCATTAATAACTGTTCTAAATTTCAACCATCGACCATGTAGCTATGTTATCAAATCTTAGTTGGCCTAAGACAGGTTTTGCGTAAAAATCGCAAAAATCAGAAAAGCGATGCCAAATTATTAACAATATTTTTACAGCTTTCATTTTTATTCCGTTTAATGTAAATGTTTATTTAACAAGGAAAGATAGATCTTTTATATTTTTTTTATTTGAAGATGAGAGCATTTATAGAAAAAAAATACTATTATTTTAAAGTTAATGAATTTTTATACTTTT